TCATCTTCAAGGACCATAACACTGTATCAATCGCATCTGCTAGAAAAATGACAGGATGGATAATGAGAACCTTCACGGCGCGCATAACGGAGATAAAACGCCTAAATTACTGGGAGCGCGTTAAGAGACCATACAATAAGTGTCAGGGGCCCGAGACTGTTCAACTGCCTCCCAGCATACATAAGGGGGATTACCAACAGACCCCTGGCAGTCTTCAAGCTGGCACTGGACAAGCACCTAAAGTCGGTTCCTGACCAGCCGGGCTGTGGCTCGTACGTTGGTTTGCGTGCAGCCAGCAGTAACAGCCTGGTTGATCAGGTCTGATCCACCAGGAGGCCTGGTCACAGACCGGGCCGCGGGGGCGTTGACCCCCGGAACTCTCTCCAGGTAAACTCCAGGTAAACGTAGCCTATACTCTGCGGTCTTCTGTGCCCTTCCACTATCTTCATGACTTTGCATTTGGCGGGATTAAATTCGAGAAGCCATTTGCTGGACCAGGTGTCCAGTCTGTCCAGGTCTCTTTGAAGTCCTGCCCGGTCCTCATCAGATTTAATTCTCCTCATTAACTTCACATCATCTGCAAACAGGGACACTTCTGAGTCTAACCCTTCCATCATGTCGTTCACATATACCAAAAATAGCACTGGTCCTAGGAACGACCCCTGTGGGACCCCGCTCGTCACAGGTGCCCACTGTGATACATCATTACGTACCATGACTCATTGTTGCCTCCCTGTCAGGTATTCTCTGATCCATTGCAGTGCCCTTCCTGTTATATGAGCCTGATCCTCTAGCTTCTTCATTAATCTCTTGTGAGGAACTGTGTCAAAGGCCTTCTTGCAGTCCAAGAAGATGCAATCAACCCACCCCTCTCTCTCGTGTTTTACTTCTGTTACTTTATCATAAAACTCCAGAAGGTTTGTAACACAGGATTTTCCTTCCATGAATCCATGCTGGTTGTCGTTTATACTCTTGTTCCGTTCTAGGTGCTCCACCACTCTCCTCCTGATAATCTTCTCCATAATTTTGCATATTATACACGTCAATGACACAGGTCTATAGTTTAGTGCCTCTGTTCTGTCTCCTTTTTTAAAAATGGGAACTACATTTGCCGTCTTCCATACCTCAGGTAGTTGCCCAGTTTCCAGGGACGTGTTGAAGATTGTGGTAGGTGGCACACACAACATATCCGCTCCCTCTCTAAGGATCCACGGGGAGATGTTGTCCGGTCCCATTGCCTTTGAGGTATCGATGTCCCTTAGCAGTTTCTTTACCTCCTCCTCATCTGTATGCATGTATGTCATCCAACACTTGTTGGTATATTTCTTGCTGGTGTCCCCATCTGGTCTGTTTCCCCGAGAGGCCTTCCTGTCTCCACTGTAAATACTTCCTTAAATCTCATGTTGAGCTCCTCACATACCTCTTGATCGTTTCTTGTGAGTTCTCCACCTTCTTTCCTCAGCCTTATCACCTGGTCTTTGACTGCTGTTTCTGGTCAGACTTGACTTTCAATGCTATGTCGTTCTCGTACTGTCGCTGGGCCTCCCTTCTTACCTGTGCATACTCGTTTCTGGCTCTTCTACTAATCTCCTTATTTTCCTGGGTCCTTTGCCTCCTGTACCTTTTCCATTTTCTGGTGCACTTAGTTTTTGCCTCCCTACACCTTCGGGTAAATCAAGGACTCGTTTTGGTCTTCTTATTATTTTGTTTCCCTTGGGAACAAACCTTTCCTCTGTGTGTGTGTGTGTTGTGTGTGTGTGTGTGTGTGTGTGTGTGTGTGTGTGTGTGTGTGTGTGTGTACTTGGTGAATGCCGTAAATCAATGTTTAGGCAAATTAGTGGTTCACTGAACAATGACGTACATTAAGATATAAGTATATATTTCGCTTATTTCATTGTTATCGTCAGTGTACATATTCCATCTCCTTCAGTCCTGGACACAATGATAGATGCTGGTCTTGGCCAGGACGTTGTACAGCAGAAGTCAGTCCTGGACACAATGATAGATGCTGGTCTTGGCCAGGACGTTGTACAGCAGAAGGTTGATGATTTTCTCTTTATTTCCTTGTTGGTGCTGTCTCTCTGTCCATCCTGGAAGGTGGTGGGTGGAAGGTGGTGGGTGGTGGGTGGAAGGTGGTGGGTGGTAGGTGGTGGGTGGTGAGTGGAAGGTAGTGGTTGGTGGGTGGAAGGCGGTGGGTGGAAGGGAACATAAGTGGGTCTACCATAAGTATGTTTACCAGTGTGGCTGGTCAGTAAATTGAGCGTGAAGAAGCAACATGAAGAGTGAGGGTCTGTCCTCGACCAACACTGACTTCCTTGTTCACCAGTGTGGCCCAGAGTGTATTGTGTGTTGTGATTGTCTTGTGAGTGCTTAGAGTCTCATGTGTGTTGTGAGAGTGCTGAGTGTGTTGTGTTTTGTGAGTGAATTGAGATTGTGCTGTGAGCGTGTTGCGAGTTTGCTGTGTTGTGAGTTTGTGTGTTGTGACCATGTTGTGTGTTGTGAGTGTTTTGACTGTGCAGTAATGTATCGTGTATCGTGTGTGTTGCGAGTGTGTTGTGTGCTGTTAGTATCTTGTGTTGCTAGTGTCGTATGTGGAGTGTGTTGTGAGCGTGTTGTGCGTGAGCGTATTGTGTTGTGAGCGTATTGTGAGAGTGTTGTGTGTTGGGAGTGTGTTGAGTGCTGTGAACATATGTGTTGTGTGTTGTAAGCATGTTGCGCTTTGTGAGCATGTTGTGTTGTGAACATGTGTGTTGTGTGTTATTAGTGTGTTGTGTCTTATGAGTGTGTTGTATATTTTGAGTGCGCTTTGTGTTGCGTGTTATGTGTGTGTGTTGCGTGTTATGAGTGTGTTGCGTGCGGGGGAACTGTGAGTGTTTTGTGTGCGGGTGAGTTGTGTGTTATGTATTGTATAAAGAGCGTTTTGTATTGTGAGTTGTGAGAGTGTTGCATGTTTTGAATGTCTAGGTTGTTGTGTTGTGAGGGAGTAGTGTTTTGTGTTGTGTGTTGTGTTTTGTGGGTGTGTTGAGTGTTGTGTTTTGTGAGGGTACAGTAGTTAGCAGTTGTCGACAGATACTTAGTCGGGTTTTAGTTTTTTGTGTTGTGTTGTGATTGTGTTGTGTGTTGAGGGTGTGTTATGCTTTGTGTTGTTAGGAAGTAATGTGTTGTGTTGTAAGGATGTGATGTGTTGTGTGTCTTGAGTGTGTTGTGCTGTGAGAGTGTTGTGTTTTTAATGTGTTGCGTTTTGTGTTGTGTTCTGTGTTGTGTTGTGAAGGTTTAGTGTTGTGAGGGTGTGTTGTGAGGGTGTGTTGTGAGGGTGTGTTGTGAGGGTGTGTTGTGAGGGTGTAGTGCATGGATCCTGCATCAACTACATCACTCTCCAGATTGTTCCACTTCCTGACAACTCCATGACCGAAGAAATACTTCCTAACATCCTTGTGACTCCTCTGAGTCCTTAACTATCAGCTGTGGCCCCTTTTTGCGTGCCACATCTCTGAAACATCCTGTCCCTATCTACCTTGTCAATTCCTTTCAGCATTTCGTATGTCGTTATCATCTTCCTCCCTATCCCTCCTGTCATCTAGTGTCGTCAGGGTGTGTGCGTGTGTGTGTGTGTGTGTGTGTGTGTGTGTGTGTTGTGTGTGTGTGTGTGTGTGTGTGTGGGCATCACTGCCTCACCCCCTGGAGTGCCAGCGTGACCCTGGGGCCACAACATTAACCTCTATCACACACTCTTCTCTCACCCCCCACGTCTCTCACGTCCCTCACCCCCACGTCTCTCACGTCCCTCACCCCCCACGTCTCTCACGTCCCTCACCACGTAGGCGAACATCAGCATATTTGGATAACATTTAGCGCGATAAAACGACCAACTGGATATAAGGAGCGACACACAGCGGAACCGGAACTTGATAAGGCCTCGAGACGATACTTGAGAGGAGGGCGGTGAAGGGAGTGGGCGGTGAAGGGAGTGGAAAACGAGGCAGGGAGGAGGGATACATATTTTAATTCCTGTGATTGATTATTCCAATATAATCATTTGCCTTGATGCGTCCTTCCCTTTCAGCGTTAATATTTAGATAAACATACTATATATATACATCAGTGGTCTTTATTCCTTAGTTTACTAGAGGAAAATAGTGGTATTTGAGGGAGGGGAAACATGTGTTTATTATTTTAGTGTCGAGGCTAAAGAGCGGATGAAAGCTTCACTTCATTCTCATCAATAGACGAATGAATTATGTTATACGGAACTGGTCCTTGGCCAGCGCCGGGGACCGTGGCAATAATGGTAGCTCAGTCTGCCGCCGGGCACAAGCTTCAGTGTGATAGTCTATCACGGTATCAGACGTAGCCGACCCATGAGTGAGTTTATCCATCACAGATGAACGCTGGGGTAGGTTGGCAACGCACTTGCTTCACACACTGAGTGTCCGTGGTTCAATCCCCGGCATGGGTGAAAATGTTGGGCATGTCGTCCCTGTTCACTTAGCAGTAAGTAGGTACCTAGGTGTTAGTCGGACTGGCAGACGCTACAGTGATGACAATCAGGCAATGATTATATAACATGTAAATATATGATACTCTTAGGCCATAGTGTAATAAATATTAATGAAGCTTAGTGGAAATCAGAGAATGATCGGTATTCAGGCGGTGTGCGACTTCTGGAGGAACTTATATACGAGAGTAACAGTACTTAACAGACAAGGGATAACTTGGTGCACACTAGTGATATCTGTTAAAATCCAGACCTTGTAGAGGATATGAGTAATCAATGTACAATAGAAGCTGATCCATACTTAAAAAAACTGAGACAGAGCTATGGTCAGCATATTCTGTCTGAGGTAAATGCTGCCTGTGATGAATGGTTGAAAACACCGACAAGTTGAAGATTGAGACACTTATGTAACACATGGGAATCTTTATTCAGGAAACGTTTCGCCACACAGTGGCTTCCTATGCAATACTCTTGCAGGTAACATTCCCTTGCTCTAAACCCACAGGTGCGCGAGCAGCTGGCCAAGGAGACGGGTCTGAGCGTAAGAGTGGTACAAGTGTGGTTTCAGAACCAGCGGGCGAAGATGAAGAAACTACAGCGAAGAGCTAAACAGACGGAACACAACAACAACGACAAAGACGAGAAAGAAGACAAGGGTGAAGGTGGGAAGAAGGAAGGAAGTGGAGAAGGTGAGTAAACAAGGGTGAAGGTGGGAAGGAAGGAAGGAAGTGGAGAAGGTGAGTAAACAAGGGTGAAGGTGGGAAGGAAGGAAGCGGAGAAGGTAAGTAAACAAGGGTGAAGGTGGGAAGGAAGGAAGGAAGTGAAGAAGGTGATAAACAAGGGTGAAGGTGGGAAGGAAGGAAGTGGAGAAGGTGAGTAAACAAGGGTGAAGGTGGGAAGGAAGGAAGGAAGTGGAGAAGGTAAGTAACAAGGGGTGAAGGTAGGAAGGAAGGTGGAGAAGGTGAGTAAACAAGGGTGAATGTGGGAAGGAAGGAAGCGGAGAAGGTGAGTAAACAAGGGTGAAGGTGGAAGAAGTGAAGTGAGTAACAAGGTGAAGGTGAAGGGAAGGAAGAAGGTGAGTAAACAAGGGTGAAGGTGGGAAGAAGGAAGGAAGTGGAGAAGGTGAGTAAACAAGGGAGTAAGGTGGAAGAAGGAAGGAAGTGGAGAGAGGTGAGTAAACAAGGGTGAAGGTGGGAGAGGAAGAAGTGGAGAAGGTAAGTAAACAAGGGTGAAGGAGGAAGGAAGTGAAGAAGGTAAGTAAACAAGGGTGAAGGTGGGAAGGAAGGAAGGAAGTGAAGAAGTGAGTAAACAAGGGTGAAGGTGGGAAGGAAGGAAGTGGAAGGTGAGTAAACAAGGGTGAAGGGTGGGAAGGAAGTGAAGGGAAGGTGAGTAAACAAGGGTGAAGGTGGGAAGGAAGGAAGGAAGTGAAAGGTGAGTAAACAAGGGTGAAGGTGGGAAGGAAGGAAGGAAGTGAAGAAGGTGAGTAAACAAGGGTGAAGGTGGGAAGGAAGGAAGGAAGTGGAGAAGGTGAGTAAACAAGGGTGAAGGTGGGAAGGAGAAGGAAGTGAAGAAGGTGAGTAAACAAGGGTGAAGGTGGGAAGGAAGGAAGGAAGTGAAAAGGTGAGTAAACAAGGGTGAAGGTGGGAAGGAGGAAGGAAGTGGAGAAGGTGAGTAAACAAGGGTGAAGGTGGGAAGAAGGAAGAAGTGAGAAGGTGAGTAAACAAGTGGTGAAGGTGGAAGAAGGAAGAGAAGGTAACGTGAAGGTGAGTGTAAACAAGGGTGAAGGTGGGAAGGAAGGAAGGAAGTGGAGAAGGTGAGTAACAAGGGTGAAGGTGGGAAGGAAGGAAGGAAGTGAAGAAGGTGAGTAAACAAGGGTGAAGGTGGAAGGAAGGAAGGAAGTGAAGAAGGTGAGTAAACAAAGTGAAGGTGGGAAGGAAGGAAGGAAGTGAAGAAGGTGAGTAAACAAGGTGTGAAGGTGGGAAGGAAGGAAGGAAGTGAGAAGGTGAGTAAACAAGGGTGAAGGTGGGAAGGAAGGAAGTGGAGAAGGTGAGTAAACAAGGGTGAAGGTGGGAAGGAAGAAAGGAAGTGAAGAAGGTGAGTAAACAAGGGTGAAGGTGGGAAGGAAGGAAGGAAGTGAAGAAGGTGAGTAAACAAGGGTGAAGGTGGGAAGGAAGGAAGGAAGTGAAGAAGGTGAGTAAACAAGGGTGAAGGTGGGAAGGAAGGAAGTGAAGGTGAGTAAACAAGGGTGAAGTGGGAAGGAAGGAAGGAAGTGGAGAAGGTGAGTAAACAAGGGTGAAGGTGGGAAGGAAAGAAGGAAATGTAGAAGAAAGGATGAGTAAACAAGGGTGAAGGTGGGAAGGAAGGAAGGAAGTGAAAACAAGGTGAGGTAGAAAAGAATGTGAAGGTGGACAAGTGAATGGAAGGAAGTGAAGAAGGTGAGTAAACAAGGGTGAAGGTGGGAAGGAAGGATGAAGAAAGGTGAGTAAACAAATGTGAAGGTGGGAAGGAATGAAGGAAGTGAAGAAGGTGAGGTTAACAAGGTGAAGGTGGGAAGGAAGGTGAAGAAGGTGAGTAAACAATGGTGAAGGTGGGAAGGAAGGAAGGAAGTGAAGAAGGTGAGTCAACAAGGGTGAAGGTGGGAAGGAAGGAAGAAGAGTGAGTAAACAAGGGTGAAGGTAGGAAGGAAGTGAAGAAGGTGAAGTAAAACAAGGGTGAAGGTGGGAAGGAAGTGAAGAAGGTGAGTAAACAAGGGTGAAGGTAGGAAGGAAGTGAAGAAGGTGAGTAAACAAGGGTGAAGGTGGGAAGGAGTGAAGAAGGTGAGTAAACAAGGGTGAAGGGGGAAGGAAGGAAGGAAGTGAAGAAGGGTGAGTAAACAAGGGATGAAGGTTTGAAGAAGGAAGGAAGTGAAGGAAGGTGAAGTCAACAAGGTGAAGGTGGGAAGGGAGGAAGTAAAGAGGTGAGTAAACAAGGGTGAAGGTGGGAAGGAAGGAAGGAAGTGAAGAAGG